GTGTGTGTGTGTGTGTAAATATACTTCAATTTATTAAAGTTCATGCTAGTTAATACTACAGTGTGCTGTTGCATTCATTAACAAAGTTGTAGATACTGCAATATATACTGTATAATACAGTTTACTATATTTAGTATGGTTCAAAAACGTACTATTATTTACTATAAATACTATTACAACTTCTTATTTCATGTGGGTTGAATCGTATCTTTAGAACCATATAACATGATTGAAAGCAGCTCCTAGATAACTCATAACTGTTTCTTATATAAAAAAAAACAAACAAACAAGAGAAGCACCCAGCACAGTCCTTAGCTTAGCTAACAGTATTGAACATATAGATAATTATTAAAAATCATAACTTACCCTCTGATTGCTCGAGGCCTCAAACAACGTGAGCTGCCCTGTGTCCTGACAAACAGAAACGCCCCATCTCATTGGCTGGCTCTAGCCAATAAACTGGCTTTGCTGCTCTTTTACTGGTATGTACATTTCCACAGAATTTATTATTTTTAACAAGAATCTCTTCAGAAAAGAGTTTAAATAAACCCTAAATAATAAAATAATCGTGGGAAATGATTATTTTGCACCTCAGTCCTGTTGGCTGCTGGCATTGTTCATTGGTCAGGCATCAGCCAATCAAACAGCTTTACACCAGCCCCGCCCCTTCCCTGCCCAGCGCTGCTCACGCCTCTGCATCTGCGAGTGCACAGATGAGTTCTGCTACAGAGATCGCGGGAGATGTGTAGCAAAAGTCAGAGCGCGGGAGATTTGTAGTTGTACTGACGAATCTGAGAGGTTGTGAGTGCCGACCTGTGGTTGTAGAGCGAAGATGCAGTCAAATTTGCCGTGCACACGTGTGTCTGTCACTTTGTATTTGTGAATGACATTTTACAAATACACAACTATTAATCTGCAACTTCCAATTTAAAACACAAGTGTGTGGATTGTTGTGTGTGTGTGCAAATCGAGGATTTCAGCTGTTCACATCAGAGCTGTAAGTGTACATTTCAACCTACACATACAAATATTATTATCACAAGTGCTCACATTTACATTTGCAAGCTCTCGAGTTTCGCAACTGAATTACCTTCATACTTTTATGACCACGGGAAATGCAAACGGCTGAAGAATGAAAACTTAAAGCACACAGGTTTGCAAACCCCACCTAAAGTTGAGGGCGCAGATGAAAGCGATCATGACACGTGATGGATATTGATCTGCCAGCTGAGATCAATCGAGTACCTGCTTTTCAGAGAAGGTGCCCGAATCTCCATGCGTTGCATTCACTGCGTGTTCAGCTCAAATGTCCGCTAAAAGTCAAATCTAATACTGTACATATCATCGCCAAAGAAGCTCGCCTTTACTAAGTTTACACTGAATCTGCGGCTCATCATAACAAACAGCGGTATTGCGCCGGTGGTCACCGCAAGAATCCTGCTCTGCCTGCTCATATATTGGGTCGGCTGACTCGCCTGCTTTCCACTAACACAGAAACATGAAGATCAGCTCAGACTGAACCTTTAAATTGACACAAACTGAAACCAAAACTTTTAAAGAGTGATAGAAGTGTTTCTTTTGTCTATTCTTTCTTGAGGTGTATATTATTTTTTATTTATTTACTGATGACTGCTTTGCAGCTTTCAGCATTGAATTGAATGATTGATTATAATCTTTTGTTTGTTCTGTAGCAGAAATATTATTTATTAAATTGACATTCATATAAAAACAGCAGCACAAAATCAATATTTCTTACTGCAATGCTTCATTTTTGTTTGATGCAAACTACAATTATTTTTCATAAAGTAACAGACTTTTTATAGCAGATATTCATGCACGTTCAAGGCAGTTCATTGTTACTATTATTGTCATTTTCATTATCATTAATATTCTATAATTATTAGACATTCATTTTGGAATTATAGCACACAAATATCAAGTCATCACAGCATTAGTTCGATAGTTGTTTCTGGTTTTTGTTAGTCCTATTGATGTTGTTTTAAAATACAATAAATCCCTTAAAAAACTATTTGCAGCGGTTCATTTTTGGTGGGTGCTCCTAAATCTTTTTTGGTGCTCCTCAATATTTGAAGTTGGGAGCACCGGTGCTACCAAGTAAGAAAGTTCATTTCGAGCCCTGTTCACGCATGCAAGTTCATCTTCAGATAGTGTCTTTATAGCAATGTGCGTGCAGTAGATCGCTCAGATTACATTGGGAAAACAGGCGACTGCTGCAAATTGTGCTTTAATGTTTGGCTGGTCAACTGTATGGTATGGAAACCTTATATACCTGCTAGATGAACCCGTCTCATACAGCTGCCATTGCACGGCTCAAAGACACTTTGTAGAGAGCAATTTAACACAACTGCCTCTAGAAGTCGCCAATGGAAATAAAACAGACACACACAAAAAATGTGTGTACGCCAGGCATGAAGCTGGGGTGGAGCTGCGCACATTCCCACGTTCAGTTCATCGTTATTAATTCTAAACGTGAGCGATTCTGAGCGTGAAACCTGGCGCACGCAAAGTTTTTGTGCGTACGCTTCGTTGATACATGAGGCCCCTGGTGTGCGACCTGCTTGACTGCCTGTTAAAGCGTAAAGTCATGTAGGATTTTACTTGTTGCATTAGTCTGAGTCACGTCTGTGTGGATTGTCAAGACATATTCCCTCATCAAGTCGATAAACTCAATCTCAACATGTATGAAGGACGTAAAAGCCTGCCATGTGAAAAACCGCGCCGATCTTTTGGTTTGAACACGAGCAGAGGTGAGGGACTGTAGCAGTGAAAGTGAAAGTACTCGCCCCCATGACGTCATTTAGCGGATCTAGCTGAAAACCAGACAGATCAGGCAGCATGATACAGAGAGTGGAGCAAAGCGCATCAAATGATCGGTATTTAATAGGGGAAAAAGAAAAATAACTAAATATATTATTTTATAGTAGACACACATCTGGTGCTTGTATTTGCTCCTGCTATACGTCCACAACTTCACACATTGGGTTAAATAAGGCTTTACAGTTTCCATGTTCAGTCCTTTACTTCCACTGTATCTTTTTAAGAAAAAGGCAGCATCATTACAACCTGACATTCAATCAGAAGACAAAGTCAAAGCCGAGCTGACAGCCAATCTTTCCTTGGCTCAGCAAAACTTGCAAACAGTACCTCTGTATTCCTGCAACGGGAATATTTACACAAATATTTCTTATTCAAATCTTCAGCAATGCTATTTAACTCGTGAATTTGTTTTACATTTATTTACACCTTGACCGATTTTTGTGTGCCATTAAAACTACATTGTTCCTTAACCAGATGGTTTTTCAAGTTACTTTTATAGAGAATGTTACTTCAGTCATGTTGTTGTAATGTTTTGAGAAGACGAGTAACAAAAAAAAAAAAAAATCGAAATCGTGAATCGGTCAAACTTTATAAAAAACCTAGATTTTATTTTTTTTGCCAAATCGCCCAGCTCTACTTTAAGATGTGTGACGCTGCACTAAGCTTGACACTATGTGATGAGGCTGAATAAATACAATATATTTTAAAAAGTATTAGGAGAATTACGCATGTCCAGAGCACACAACACACGGTTAACACACACTTTAATGGGGGAAACCATTAAATGCATGACAGTGAGTTACAAGCTGACATCATAGTATGCGAGTATATGATGATGAGTACACGTCGATGATGCAGAGATGAAAAAGGAAATCTTTACAGAAATTAAATGCAATCCTGGAGTGTTTTCTTACAATGCAGCATAGTGTTCAATAAATATACAGACAATCGTTTACTCTTAGCAGTACCTCTTAATTTGCTGATTACAGACCAAACGTACAGCCTCTGCAGTGTTTTCCACAGTCTTCGTGACGTACTGAATGTGAAACTGTGTGTTTTGTTCATGATTTTCAACAAATTGAAGCAACAGTGTCATATTTATAACTTAAAGATTGAGAGAAAATAAGCTACCCATCAAATCAAACCAGCACCAAACAAATGTACAGCACAACAATCCAGATCTGGATCATCTGGACAGGTTCCTAATCAAAATATAAGAGAAATGACTTTCAGAAATATGTGAAAAATCCACTGAAAGCTGAAATTAGAGACCTGAAGAAAGCTGATGGCACTTCACATCACCGGTTTATCCATATAATCTGCTTGACTAGTCCTCGATCTGGGATCTGTGACTGGTGTGTCAGTATAACTGGGTATTCTTTATTGATTTATTAATTGATTTGTAATAGTATAAGCCTGATAAATGTGCTTGTTCTCTCCTGCCATTAACATGTTAATCATACAGCAGGTATTTTAAGTGCAATAAGTTAGCAGTACTAATGATTATGGGATTATTATAATCAAATCTGCTGTTGTAAGTTGATAGTGAGCTCTTTAGACAACTGTCAATAAATATTATCTAAATTTAGAAAGATAATTATTGCATTATGACATTTTACTCATGGCTGTATGTTTATATAATAAATTGTATATTTATTATTATTTTTGTGATATATATGTGGACATAAAAATAGATAAAATAATAGATTGATAGATTCATGGATGAATAGATAAACAGATAGATGGATGAAAAGCTGGATAGACATAGATAGATAGATAGATAGATAGATAGATAGATAGATAGATAGATAGATAGATAGATAGATAGATAGATAGATAGATAGATAGATAGATAGATAGATAGATAGATAGATACGTCATAATAAGTCATAAAATTAATAATCATTAATATGTTTTTATTAATATTTCTACATAATTGTTTCCTTATTTTATGTCTGTGTTTATATTATCTCTAATATTTTCCTTGTTATTTATGCTTTAAGATGTGTGACGCTGCACTAAGCTTGACACTATGTGATGAGGCTGAATAAATACAATATATTTTAAAAAGTATTAGGAGAATTACGCATGTCCAGAGCACACAACACATAAAAATACAAATAAATCATCAACACACATAATAAAAGAGCTTTGTACCACAGTTTCAAGTGTATTCAAACACAATTTATTACAGTTCAGATGCAGACAAACACTACATGCAATAAAAGAATTACAACAACACACAACACATAGAGAGTCAGGTCTGCCGGCGGTATGAAGCCTTCTGAATACTGGATCACCGCCATCTGATTAGTTCTGTTGCTTGGCGGGCTGGAACTGCTGATCCACCAGTGAGGAGCCGAACCCGGAGCAGCAGACGTTGTGCAACCAGACGGACCTGGATCAGCAGGAATTGTGCAACCAGACGGTCCCGGAGCAGCAGGCTTGGTGCAACCAGACGGACCCGGATAAGCAGACATGCCGCAATCAGACGGACCCGGATCAGCAGCCATGCTGCAATCAGACGGACCCGGAGCAGCAGACATGCCGCAATCAGACGGACCCGGAGCAGCTGACATGGCGCAATCAGACGGACCCGGAGCAGCAGACACTGCGCAGCCCCCAGACAGACCCGTATCCACAGACAGCCTGCAGCCTCCAGAGGCATCCGGGTTACCAGATACACTGAAGTCCCGAGACGCACCCGGATAAGAGGACACACTGAAGAACCCAGACGAACCGGGATCAACAGACACCCTGCAGCCTCGAGATGGACGAGCATTAAGAGACACACTGAACACCCCAGATGGACATAGGACGAGGGACAAGCGGAGGACTCCAGGTGGACCCGGAATAAAAGAATCCGAGTAGAATCCATTAGGTCCCGGGTCAACAGACACACTGGAGATCCCAGGTTGGTCCACGTCAATGGAGACAACACAGACCCCACACGGATCCGGGGACCCTGGGGTGCCCTTGACGATTCTCAAGATGACTTTGCTGCAATCTTTCTTGAGGTAGATCTTTCTAGTCCGATCTCTCGATTCTGAAGCTGAAGAGAGAGAAAATATTACAAGGTGTTATTCCCCGATAACAACCAATTCAACTAATAGCACATACCTATAGCCATGTAATAAGCAGGATAATAAACAATTCTACAATATTTTAATCTGTGTTTCACTTCAATTACTATAATCAGCTAAAACCACAACTCATGTCTTTCCTAATCCTTCTGTTTCGCTGCTTACCGACAGCACGAGCGCTACCAGATGGGTCAGTGTGGTCCACTATAGATGTTGCTGCTGCATCCATACAGCAAAGCTTATGGATAGCTCTTCCCATTTTCCGGAAGAATGAAAGAACGCCTGTCTTCCTCCGTCCTCGTCTTTGCATCTCTAAAGAAAATAAGAAAACATTTAGAAAGTACAGATAACGGGTCAGTAGCACAACAACCAGCGGCTGGACATCACCACCCACTTTGAATGTTATCACTTCATTTAATGAGCGTTATTATAGGGGCCTTCTGCGCTGACTGGTAGGCTCAGAAGGATTATATCATCCATCCACATGGTTAATCAGCTATACTTATATTGAAGACTCCAGATCCAGATCTGTTTTTACATTACTGTGACGGTTGGGTTTAGAGTTGGAGTAGGGTTAGACATTACCTGCTTTCTGGAACCGTTCTTCACCGGACTCGATTACAGCATTTACTCTAGTATTTAGTTTGTAGTATTTACACTTACATACTATACTTATAACAATATACAATGCAACACTTTCTCATACGCATTTGTACACAGCACCTTATAACCTGTATATTTATATCAAATCTGTACATACAACTCAACATTCAGATCTTTTGGACTAACTGCATCTCTGTTTAATCTTTATCATCTTTTTTTCATATTGATTTTGTGTTGTCAATTTACGTACACTGGAAGCTTCTGCAGCCATAACAAATTCCTGTGTGTGTGAAGCACACTTGGCAATAAAACTGATTGTGATTCGATACTAAAGAACGGCAGTGAACTGATAAATGTGAATAACTCATGATATTTTAAAAGAGCCGTGTTTCAGTGTGAATTATGACAGAGTTAAATTGTTTACAGTCATTCATCTTTTTAACACACACTGTGATTCTGACTGCATTCACACTGAAATATCAAATACACCAAAACATTCCATTTATTAAAGGTTATGAAGGCTAAAACACCCTCAACAGCCGTATCTCCTTACTGTAGCCACACCAAAAATGTAAAAGTTATTACACATACAGTATAACAAGAACAATTACTGTAGTAATATATACTGTAGAGCTGTTCAATATACAACTTATATTTCATAATATGAAGTTTTATATTTTATTATTGTTTATTTTAGCTTCTACATTCTCAAACATATAATAATGAGTAAAATATGATCACATAATTAATTAAAACTGTGTATTTGTATAATTGTGCTTTACATTTAGTGAAAATATGAATTAGGATAATGATATTATATCATTTTATATACATAAACATCATTGATGTTGACATTTGAGATATCTGTCGTAATTTGTCTTGTAGTTCATACAGTATATTATCTACTTTACCACAGTATGTGTATAGCAGAATAGATTTACCACATCACTGTGATTTACTGTAGTAAATATCAAAAACACTGCAGTATTTACATCAGGAAGTTTACTTCATGTCCTATAGTAAATGTACTATATATATATAAAATAATACAGTATATTTCCACCGGTGTGCTGCTGTGCTCTTACCTGCTGTCTGGTTCTCCAGGACGGCCGCAGATGAAGCTCTCTGTTCGGACGCTCCTCAATTCAATTCAATTCAATTCAGCTTTATTTGTATAGCGCTTTTACAATGTAGATTGTGTCAAAGCAGCTTCACATAAATGGTCATAGTAATTGGAACAGTGTGGTTCAGGTTTTAGTGTTTAAGTTCAGTTCAGTTCAGTTCAGTTTAGCTCTGTTCAGTGTGATTTATTCATTACTGAGAGTTCAAACACTGAAGAGCAAATTCAACGATGCGTAGCTCTACCAATCCTGAACCATGCGAGGCAGTGGCGACAGCGGAGAGGGAAAAAAAAACTTCACCTGATGGGAGTGAAGAAAAAAAACCTTGAGAGAACCAGACTCAGTTGGGCACGACCATTTTAATTTCTCCGCTGGCCAAAAGTCTTGTGCAGAACTTCATTCGCCGTGGTTTATGCTGGAAGATGGCCTCAATGAAGACTCGTCTGTCCCTGGAGCGTCGCTGGAATCAGACTCAAGTTCTCCACTCCCCTCGACCATCAGCGCAGCAGCAGCTCAGGATATGGCCTGGTCCCGGATATGGAATCCTTGGGAACATCACGTCGCTGGTCTTGGATCCAATCAGTGACTCCGCATAATCTGAGGACCTCGGGATGAGTATCCCCAGGTGAAAATAGAGAATAAAGAGAATTAGCGTAGCTGCTGTTCATAGTGTATATAAGCAAGATGCAGAAGCCAGTGTGGAACCTGCTAGGTGATGCACTGAGTGTATGCTTTACTAAACAGATAGGTCTTTAATCTAGTTTTGAACTGGGAGAGTGTGTCTGAGCCTCGGACATTACCAGGAAGGCTATTCCAGAGTGTAGGAGCCATGAAAGAGAAGGCTCGACCTCCTTTACTTGATTTTGCTATTCTAGGTACTACCAGAAGCCCTGAATTTTGAGATCTTAAGGAGCGAGTTGGTTCGTAGCGAGACAGAAGGTTGGTTAGATAAACAGGAGCTAGATTATTTAGAGCTTTATAGGTGAGAAGTAATATTTTAAATTCAATACGAAATTTAACAGGCAGCCAGTGTAAGGAGGATAAAATTGGGGTTATATGATCATATTTTCTAGACCTGGTCAGAACTCTGGCTGCTGCATTTTGCACTAATTGAAGTTTGTTAATAGAGGATGCTGGGCAGCCAGCAAATAGAGCATTACAGTAATCCAGTCTCGAAGTCATAAAAGCATGGACTAGCTTTTCTGCATCTGAGATGGATAGCATATTTCGTAATTTAGCGATATTTCTCAGATGAAAGAAGGCAGTTTTTGTGACATGGGATATATGGTTTTTAAAAGTTAGATTGCTGTCTAATATGACACCCAGATCTTTTATAGTAGAGCTAAAGCTAACTTTGTATCCCTCTAATTGTAAATTGAGTTGCGAGATCTGCTGTGTGCAAGATTTAGGCCCAATAAGTAATAATTCTGTTTTGTCTGAGTTTAAGAGAAGAAAATTGTTGGTCATCCAGTCTTTGATGTCTTTGATACACTCAGTTAGTTTAGAAAGTTCAGACGTCTCGTCAGGTTTAGTGGAAATATATAATTGAGTATCATCTGCATAGCAGTGAAAGCTGATCCCATGTCTTCTAATAATGTCTCCCATAGGTAGCATGTAAATTGTAAACAGTAAAGGGCCTAAAACTGATCCTTGAGGCACCCCATACTTTACTGGGCAGATTTGTGAAGGCTGTCCATTAAGATTTACAAACTGGTAGCGGTCAGTTAAGTATGACTTAAACCATTGTAGAGCCTGTCCCTGGACACCTGTAGACTTTAAGCGATTTATGAGGATATTGTGGTCAATGGTATCAAATGCCGCACTAAGATCGAGTAAAACTAATAGCGAGACGCACCCTCGGTCAGCAGCTAAGAGTAAATCGTTGGTTATTTTCACTAAGGCGGTTTCTGTACTGTGGTGAGCCCTGAAACCTGACTGAAACACTTCAAAAATATTGTTCGTCTGCAGAAAAGAGCATAATTGAGTGGAAACAACTTTTTCTAGTATTTTAGACATAAATGGAAGATTTGAAATAGGCCTATAGTTAGCTAAGTTGTTGGTGTCTAGTTGCGGTTTCTTAATAATAGGCTTAATAACAGCTAGCTTGTAAGAGTTTGGAACATGGCCTATAGATAAAGAAGAGTTGATAATGTTAAGAAGAGGTTCTCCTATAGCAGGTAGCAGCTCTTTCAGTAATTTTGTTGGAATTGAGTCCAGCATACACGTAGCTGGTTTAGAGCTATTTATAATTTTTACTAACTCCAGCGCGACCGCGGCTCCTGAACTCTGGTGAATCTCGTGTAATCATTCTCTCCAGAATATTGTAATCCATATCGTGCTGTAAACGCTGTATTTTTGACTGAAAACGCATGACTGTTCGCTGACTGTCAAACACCATCTACACCACTGAACACCAAATCAAACTGACGCGCGTTCAAGAGTGTGTTCTAATTAGCGTTCGAAACTGTGACGTCATGCGGGGGAGGGACTGACGTGTACGCTGCTTGTGCTGTTACAACTTCAAACACAGGTAGAAAGTGTTAAACTACAAATACTATAAACGGTTAGGTGGAGAGGGTTTGGCAGACATTTCTGAATGCTTCTTAACCCTTGTGCACTGTTCAATCTAACCAGCCTTTTGTTATGGACGAAAACATCCACTGAATATATCTGCTGTAAAAATGCATCAGATCAATATTTTTTCTATTTTTTTGCATAAATCTGTTAATCAACCTCAGTTCTGATCAAAACGACTAAATTGCTTAGAAAATTACAGGATTTTAACTCATAAAATTTATACTTGATGTCACTGATTTGGTGAAACACACACAAAATGACGTATTTTCAGTATAGAGAGTAATTGTGGGCTTTATTTATTTTCTTTTATCACAGTCTTGGACATGTGAACGATAATAACAACATTGGCTTTGATGCATTATTTTTTTAGGATAGTGGATGCTGCACACTGGTGGTGGTGTGGAGAATGATTTTGAAGGATACAACTGATGGACATTTCGGGCCATGATCCTTACAGCAAGAATGTTTGGTTTCATTCACTGTGTGAATTGGGAAGGGCTCATCCCTATGCCCTTATCCCTTGTGGGCCGCAAGAGAGCGCTGGGGGGTCCGCGAAAAACTTGGCAGAAACAAAAAATTATTTACGAGATATTTTTTTTTCCAATCCTAAAATTATTATTATTTTTTTAAATACTTTATTTATAAGGATTTTTATTTTTACATTTGCACAAAAAAAAAGACAAACAATCAACAACAACAAAACAAAATATATAAACAAATATCCCCAACACTACTTTCCCTTTTGTGGCTTTAACAGAAGATATACATAGCTAACAGTCTGCAAACATAAAGTCCTCAAGATATACGATACACATAAAAAGTGAACAGTTCAGTGTGTGATAAAAGAAAGGTTCTGTATACCTTTATTACAAGCACTGCCATTGTGAAAGGCATTACAAGGTTACAGTGACATGAAAGAGGAATAAGAAAATATGAAAAAAAAAAGGGGGGGGGGGTCTTTTGGGATTATGAGAGATTTTATATAAACTCCTGCTCCAAAAATTGTAAATGGTCAACGTATGTAAGAAAGGGAGACCAGGTTTTTAAAAAAGTATTTTTTGAACCTCTTAGAGTAAATTTGATTTTTTCAAGCTGAATAAAATACATAACGTCTTTAATCCATCTACTATGTGTTGGGGCCTCAGTTTTTTTCCAATACAGAAGAATTAAACGCCTTGCCAGTAGCGTGGTAAAAGCAATTACTCTACATATTTCTTCTTTAAGCACAATATTTTCTGGACTGGTTCCAAAAATTGCCAACAGGGGTTCAGGTTCAATAGGAAAACCATACATATCACTAAATGATTGAAAAATGTCTTTCCAAAACCTCCCTAGATTTGGGCAGAACCAAAACATGTGGGCAGTTGTGGCTGGTGAAATTGAGCATCTACTGCATGCTGGACTAACAGTAGGATAGATCTTAGACAATTTTAAATTTGTAAAATGTAACCTGTGAAGTATTTTAAATTGAATAAGGGCATGTCTGGTACAGTGTGATGATGAATGTACTTTATTTAAAATACCATCCCATTCTAAGTCTGTGAAGTCTCTGCTCAAGTCGAGCTGCCAGGAGGTTTTAATATGTTCTAGACTTTGAGGATCAATTGTACAAATTAAAGAGTATATATGAGAAATTAGTCCTTTACTTTCGGGTTTTAAGTCTAATAATGCATCAATTACTGAGGCAGCAGGTAATTCAGGAAAAGATTTAAATTTTGACTTAACAAAGCTTCGTATTTGCAGAAATCTAAAAAAATTGTTTTTGGGCAGAGAAAAATTATGAGCAAGCTCTTCAAAGGAGCAAAAAATATTATTAATAAATAAATCTTTCAGGCATTTAATCCCCTTCTCCTCCCACACCCGGAATGCAGAGTCTGTACAAGATGGGGCAAATAAGCAGTTAGAGGCAATGGGACCTGCAATTGAGAGAGCCTGAAAGCCAAAATGCTTTCTTAACTGTGACCAAATTTTTAATGTATGTACAACTATGGGATTAAAAGAAGTCATATAATTCTTTTCTGAAATTGGAAGTGATGCACATATCAAAGATTGAAGAGAAGCTCTGGAACAAGCTCTTTCACCCTGTACCCGCAGTGGAATTGACTCTGGGTCCCAAGAAGATACCCAGTACAACATTTTTTGAATGTTGCTTGCCCAGTAGTAAAACAAAAAATTTGGCAGTGCCATGCCTCTTTGGGATTTATTCCTCTGGAGGAATGATTTTCTAATACGAGGTGATTTACCTCCCCATATAAAATGGCTTATCAATTTATCTATGTTACAGAAAAACTGTTTTCTTATGAATATGGGTATATTTGAAAAAAGGTATAAAAACCGTGGGAGAACTGTCATTTTAATTAGATTAATACGTCCAGACAGTGAAAGAGGTAGAGTGGACCATTTCTTGAAATCTTGTTTACAACGTTTTAGTAATGGATAAAAGTTGGCTTTAAACAAGTCAT